AGCCAAAAGAGGTTTACTTAATAAAATTTTGAGAAAATAGCAATTGTTTTTAAGAAAAGTTTGGTACAAGTGATCGTTGGGAAGAGTTAGTGATTTGCGTTCATTAACTAGATCATTAACTGGGTCATTTACTAATAGTTCAAAAAATATAAAAACCCTGCCTTTTTCATCAAAACAGAGCAGACTATTCTTTATTTCCTTTTAACTTCTATTATTTATAGTTTATTTTTAATGATTAAACTGTTCTTTGTTCCCTTTTAATTTCTTAATAATTAAACTGTCCCTTATACACTTTTAGTTTCTTATTATTTATAGATTATTTTTAATGAATAGACTGTCTTCTCTTCACTTTTAATTTCTTGTTATTTACTATTTATTTTCTTAGAAGTGTAGCCATCGTTTACATTCTTTTTATTGTGTTTAATAAAGCTTTTATTGTGTTTTTATTGTGTATTTAAAGTTGAGCTATCACCTCTTCTTTTTTTTTTGAGTATTTATCTTTAGTATATTGAGTTGAGCTATTGTATCTTTTCCCTTTTCTTAAGTATTTTATTGTGTTTTAGGATTAGAGCCATCGCCTCTTTTCTTTATTTTTGGTTTATTGTTTTACTTTAAAGTCTCCTTTAGTTTTCTTTCTTATTCTATTCTTTTCTTATTTGCAAATACATTTTTTAACCCTCTTATATGTTAAATCAAGTAGTATAGCTTTACTAAGATCCTATATTGCTATATTATACTGTATTAAATATCAAAGAGCAATTAGCAAGTATAATGTTCTACAAAATTATAAGAATTCACAGTTTTGCATTAAAAAATTTGTCCTAACAGTAATAAAAAGAAAAATCTAGACAAATTATTCTGTAATAAATATATTTTTAAAAAGTTTAAAAATTTTTTTGATAAATAATAAATAATAGCAAAAAATATATTCATGAATATGAATGAATCTATTAAATTTTTGTGTGACCTCCCTAGTCATAAAATCTATATCTTAATAGAGTCTCTTTATGAATATCTAATACAAAAAATGTTAGAACTATCTTCACTACTCTAGGAGTCTTTCTATATGCAGATGTAAAATATGGTTACAAAAAATTCTTATTCAAATTTTATATAAAAAATGCAATTTATTAAGTGCTAAAAATAATTCCCAATTATAAAAATTATTATATGGCCAATTATTTTGGCATTAAACAAAATACAGTATATATTTTAGTTTTATTTGTGATGCACCCAATACTAGTGTAAATGACAATAATAGAAATACTATATTAAAATAAGAGAACGTAAAAAATTTATTAATTCATCCATTCTGAGAGACACTATCGCTTTTTGAGAGTTCGTAATCAAACATTATACTGAGATAAATATTATCAACTAAATGATTGTTATGCTCTCTCTTGATTAATTTGTACCAGCCAATATCTAGATGCTAGTTAATAGTAGAGTTTAGACTTTTGGGATACTTTGCTTCTCCTTCTCTTCCTGCCCAATCAAAATCTACAAATTTTATATCAATTTTACCATTTTTGTATTTGAACATGATGTTTTTATTACAAAGATCTTTATATATGTAACCAGAATCATGAAATAACTTTATAGTATTTTTAATCACATTTTCTGTTTGGGGAAGTAATTCTGAATGGAAAGTATATAGTAGTTTATGTTCCTTCAATTATTCTATAACAACAATCTTTCAGCCTTGTTAAAGGTTATTAACTGCCTATAATCTTGATGCTAGACCTAATTCGAAGCATGTACTATGTGCTTCTTTGGAATATTTTTGGATGAATTTAACTAAACCCTTCTTTTGCATATTTTCAGTCTGGATTTTTACAACCCATAAATTTCGATATATAGAATGCTTCTCCTTATATTTAATAGTAGCCATTTCTTTTTCTAAATCAATCTTATTGATGCATGAAATCTAAGGGCTAGTATTGCAAAAGATTTCTTTCAACTCATAAACAGAATTATAGTAATCTTTTAATAGATATATAGAATTTTTTAAGGCCAAAAATATTCGTGCAATATCATCTGCTTTCATATTATCGTAAGTAATTATATCTAGTGAATAAATGTCTATAAAACAATTGCAAACAATGAAAGGAGCACAAACAGCATTAGATATCGATATATTTGGTTCTGTGTTATTATTTTTGAAGTTAGAGAGCATTTAAAATTGATAATACTGGGTATAGTGATTAGGTGTTAAAAGATATACATACCATCTAAATTGATAAGAAAAGCAGGCAAACGGATCTATTATAAAACTTCAATTTCTGGTTACAGGACTTGATTACAAATTCTTTATAATAGGCAGCATTCTGAATATAACAATTGCTATTTATACTAGGCTCAGGTTTAACTTCTAAGTTTACTAAAAGACTCTATCTCTACTAATCTTTTGATATATACTTTCATTTGTTCTTTGCTTACCAATTCGTGAACTTTGGTGGACTTCATTTGATTCTTCTGGTCAAATTTCTATTTCATTATCAAAAAATAACTCAAGCCAACATCTGAAAGCATCTGCCCTCTGGTTTTCGTCTAAAAATATACCAGACATCACAAAAGCAAGTTCAAGTACAAGTTCATATTCCTTTTCTAATATTTGACAATCCCTTGCAAAGTTGATAAACATTTCAAATATTTGATGTTAAAACTGAATTAGAATATCAGAGGCATTAGCAGGTTAGTGATTGCGAAATAGAATTTCATTCTTTTGTTTACTATCTTTAGTCCAATCTTTAGTCTATTTTGAAGGACTTGATATGTTATCCATAATGCTAAAATATATGTCTGATTCTGATGAAATAACTCAATTAATTATAAATATTAGCCAGTAGCAATATACATAGCAGTAAATCATCTTACCTGATTTCTTATGCTTAATAGCTAGCATTCAATTCAAGTAAGATACAGAAAAAACAAATATAGGTTTGGAATATTTGAATGCATTCGTAATACTACTTACTCTCTCCTTTGCCTTAATGTTTTCAATAGTTCCTTAATGTTTTCAATAGTTATACTACAAAATCCTGATACTCAAAATCCTGACATTTAAAATCTCAACAACAAAATCCCAAAACACAAAATCTCAACAAATTAAAATCCCAACAGTATTAAAATTCCGACATTTAAAATTTCAATATTCAAAAATCCTGACACTTTCAAAATCTTAACAGAATTAAAATCTCAAGCTAAAATTTTAATTCTGTTGAGTTTTTGAAAGTATCAAGATTTTGAATGTTAGGATTTTGAATGTCAGGATTTTAATGCTATCAGGATTTTAATTTGTTGGGATTTTGTGTTTTGGAATTTTGTTGTCAGGATTTTAAGCATCAGGATTTTGAGTGTTAGGATTCTGTAGTATAACCATTTTCAATAAGTTCAGCAATGGTTTCAGCTAGTTCATCAAGAAGATTATAAGCATTAGCTATAAGCTTATCCACATTCAACCTAAGGAAATTCTGACTACTAACTTTTTGTTTTTGAAGAATATTAAAATCATCATCATCCAGTCCTAAGTCTTGCTTGCATAAAAATTTTAGAAAATTCTCTATTGTCTTATATCTTTCAACTTCATTGATTGTAGGAAGTAAAATTGTTTTTCTGATAGAAGTAGATATGGGGGATGCTAGTAGAAACCAAGCAATTTGTTTTTAGTGAGTTTTTTTAAAATTTTAAATTAAATTATCTCAACAACTATTAAACCAAACTTGATAAAAATTTTTTATTTTAATTCTATAACTATATAGAATTAAAATAAAAAAATTTTTATTACATTTGGTTTAATAGTTGTTGAGATATTTTAGTTCAAAGTTTAAAAAAAATTTATTTGGAAACAAATTGTTTAGTTTCTACTAGCATCCCCCTATATATTCATATATTTAGTTTCTAAGATAGAATAAAAAATTTTTTTGGTAATTTTGATAAGAAATAGTTGTATACTCTACCTTTTTATAGTTTATACAAACAATCAGATTGTTATACAATAGGTTACATATTGTTACATGATAAAATGACAATATCTATATTGTATTTTTCTATAATATAATGATAAAGAAAATTATTACAATATTGATCATTACATTTCTTTATTTTTACATATTAATTATTCGAAGATATACAGTAATAGGAATTTGAAACTACGTATATATTATGAAAAAGTGAAGCTTTTATTTATCGCTTCTTTTCTTAAAAATTTATCATATTCACATCTTTTATATATTCTAACTGCTACTTTTTTGCATGTTTTACTTTCAACCTCTAAAGATATGCCACTTTTCGAAGTAATTTTGACTTCTTTATTTGTTAATATATTATTCTGATTTTTCATAATTATATATTAATAGAAAAAATAATATATGTAGCTAAAAATTTTTTTTATTATATAAACCTACATTGTATAGCACTTTGTAATTATTATATAAAACAAAAAATTTTATGCAACATGTTTGAAGTAATCTGCTATGTATTAATATAAAAATTTTGAAAACAATTCAATATATAATTTATTTGTGAATTGTGGAAAATTTATTATATAGATTGTGATCCAAGATCACAACAGCATGTGATATAAGGTGCGGTAAGTAAAAAATTATTTTTGTAAAAAATAGACTAATATAGCATCAATTTCATCTTGATTTAATTTCAAAATTGATGAAGCTGTAATTGATTTAACATGCTGAATTCTATCAACTTCAATTTCGATAAATAATTCATTTTTCTTTTGAAGTAAGTCATCACTAACTAGGGTTCTGCATTTGATTTGATTTGATTTGATTTGCTTTAAATATTTGATTTTAATCAAATTTAAATTTAGATTTTCAAATCAAATCAAATTCAAATTGAAAGATTAAATATTTGATTTGATTTGAAAATATTTATAAATAGCTAAAATTTGAAGAGTTATAGTGTCAGAAGCTATTTCTCAAAATTTTATTAAGACAATTACTAATTTGGTTTTATGAAACTAGAGCTATTTTGGTTATACGAATATTTTTTATTTAATATACAAAATTGATTAACTTAATAAAATTTTAAGCAAATCAAAGATATTCATAAATAGTTAAAATTTAAAGAGTTATAGTTTAGAGGCTATTTTCTCAAACTTTTATTAAGATAATTGCTAATTTGGTTTTATGAAACTAGGGCTATTTTGATTAGAAGAATATTTTTTATTTAATATACAAAATCGATTAACTTAATAAAAGTTTAAGAAAATTGAAGATATTCATAAACAGCTAAAATTTAAAGAATTATAGTTCTAGAGGTTATTTTCTTAAAATTTTATTAAGACAATTGCTAATTTGGTTTTATAAAACTATGGTTGTTTTGATTAGAAGAATTTTTTTTTTTTTTTTTGAATTTTAAGGTGAGGCCATGCCTCTAACTTTATTAAAACTTAATTGAATCTCTTTACAAGCAAATTTACAAGAAAGAAATTACATATGACTTTTATAT